ATTACATACATAACCTAATTTTTAAAGTGATATATATTTTACACCCTTAACTTACACCCCCGCACAAAACAACTTGAATGAAAAACTGGTTTTGATATTTTTTTTTCCTTGCACTTATTGACTTCACTTATAAAAGAACTTCACGTGGCTGTTACTGCGCTAGTTTACAAAACAGTATAGATCTCCCCCCCCCCTACCAATTATTCTCTATTCAGCGAGTTCTAGAAATGTGCCGGAGTGTCCTATAACCAGACAACATTCCTGACCCACACTTTAGCCAGGTCGCTCTACGACATGGCAGCGGGGTAAACGATACAGGGGGCGGTTACACAATAGGGGGAGGGGGGAGGGGAAGTAAGTACTCGGGTACTCATTGGTTGACTGAAAATTCGGCCAGACCGCTGCAGCAAGGAGCTCAATCGCCCCCACACATCTTCAATGGTTGAATCGTAACGCGACCACAACCTTGAAGCATGGAACTTCAGCCCCCACCCCTCCAACACCACCCACACACAGCTTCAGTGGTTGACTAGAAACTCGACCAGAACCTTCAGCCCCCCCCCCCCCCCCTCCCCCCAACTCCACCCACACACACCTTCATTGGTTGACTAGAAACTCGACCAGACCCTTCGGCCCCCGCCCCCCCCCCCCCCAAACACCACCCACACACACCTTCAGTGGTTGACTAAAAACTCGACCTTCACCCCCCCCCCCCCCCCACACACACACCTACCTTCAATGGTTGGAAACTAGAACAGAACAAGGGCATGCCCCCCCCCCCGCCCGCCACCCCTTGTCGTTGGCGATAGGTCCTTATGGTATCCACTGTAGCAAGTCTACTGTAGCAAGTCTACTGTAGCAAGTCTACTGTAGCAAGTCTACTGTAGCAAGTCTACTGTAGCAAGTCTACTGTAGCAAGTCTACTGTAGCAAGTCTACTGTAGCAAGTCTACTGTAGCAAGTCTACTGTAGCAAGTCTACTGTAGCAAGTCTACTGTAGCAAGTCTACTGTAGCAAGTCTACTGTAGCAAGTCTACTGTAGCAAGTCTACTGTAGCAAGTCTACTGTAGCAAGTGTAGCAAGTCTACTGTAGCAAGTCTACTGTAGCAAGTCTACTGTAGCAAGTCTACTGTAGCAAGTCTACTGTAGCAAGTCTACTGTAGCAAGTCTACTGTAGCAAGTCTACTGTAGCAAGTCTACTGTAGCAAGTCTACTGTAGCAAGTCTACTGTAGCAAGTCTACTGTAGCAAGTCTACTGTAGCAAGTCTACTGTAGCAAGTCTACTGTAGCAAGTCTACTGTAGCAAGTCTACTGTAGCAAGTCTACTGTAGCAAGTCTACTGTAGCAAGGGCCTTCACTCCATCCTCCCTAATCTTACACCCAGTAACAGACTACGCACCCATTTTGGGAGACCGTTGGAGCAAAGACCAACCTCCCCCCTCCTCTAATACTTTAAAAAACACTTCACCGGTCTAAAAAGCAAAGTCGTTCAAGGGCAGCGCTTCAAATACCTCAAACTCTGGAACGACTTTGAGAAAACTTACGAGCTGTAGCCTACAGCGATAGAACACTTAATCCAACAAAGGGGGTATCTGTTTCCAGTGAAGTATTTCATCCTACGATTAGGGATTAAGTTTACATCATGAAATTTGTGCATTCAGAAAATGTGCAAGCAATTTAAGAATAATTTAGAAAACTCTGCGATGATTCATAAAGTCATTGAAATATTTTTAAATATACTTAAGGCCTACTTTATTGTTCAGAATTTCTGCAAAACGACTTAAGGCTTTGATGCTTTGATTTCTAAAACCCACATTTTTATAACCATCAAACCAAACGAACAGTGCTTAGGTGAAATTCTACCTTCTGGCCAAAAAAAATAAGCTGAAATACGCCTTTTGGTTATACAGGAAAATCATATTGAATAAACTTAGCCTATACAATCTTTCTACATTTGTGAATACTTTCGTATCAAAATGTTTATTTTATTATTTTTTTTTTTTTTTTTGCGACTTGAGTACTTCTAAAGCCAAGGTGTTTTTTATATATATATTTACAAATAAAACCGATGTAATGTCAGTGTGAATCATTACTGTTTTTATATTTAGCATGAATTTTACTAACACTAACCAGAAAGTTAATAATTCTGACATTTTTTTTCTTTAAAAATAAATTTTAATTTACTGAATTTTGAAAACAGATCCTTTTTGAAACTTACGCATTTTCAGAACTGGCGCATTGTCAGAAGGTACGCATTGTTAGAACTCCCGAACTCGTTAGAACTCAAGCACTATTTAAATCTGGTCCATTAATTAGGTCAGGTGCAAGGTTGACCTACTTTAAACACCTGACGATTCTCAGCACTGGTTTAGCAATACCGGAAGATCGTCATCTGCTTTTATTATTAAAATATTTTTAATTCCTTTAATTGAAACTTAAAGATGGCGTCTGTTGACAACAAATACCACGAGTGTCTGTATAAAATCATGTAAACAATGCAGCGGTTGGGGGGAGTAGGGTGGGGTTGGGTGGAGGTAGGGGGTTGGGGGAATTATTCAGGCGTTCGTAATTTTGGAATCGTTCAAGCGTAAATGAATCAAACGTGAATGACGGGGCGACGCTAAATTACCCAAGGCAAAAATAGATGCTTCAACAGGCTGCTGGTTTAACGGGACTTTAAGATGGGACGCTTAGCGGGGCTTTAAGATGGGACGCTTAGCGGGGCTTTCAGATGGGACGCTTAGCGGGGCTTTAAGATGGGACGCTTAGCGGGGCTTTAAGATTGGACGCTTAACGGAATGATTTGGGGCCAGTTAAATAACATACTTTAGAGGAAACAGAGATTTATTATACGCGCAGACGATGTAACTAGTCACGTGGGGCGTTTATAGATAATTACTGGCTAATCATAAGGAACAATTGTTCATCCGATGTTTGGAGAGAAGTAACTTTAAAAATAATTAACAACAGTGCAAAATGCAACAAATAATTAACGTTACAAATAAATAAACAGCTATTTCTAACTTTTATAAGTTATTTTATTTAGTCCACAAATATTATAAGGTACTGTGATGTAATGTGCGCTATAATGGTCTAGACTATCATTGGTTAAAATAAATTAAAGTACAATGAATGTCATGTATTAGATAGGACTTGCGGGATGGGAGGGTGGGGGTTGGGGGGGGGGGGCAGCAACGTAGTGCTAAATCCTAATACATGTATTACGAAAATCTATTTTATTTCATCCCTATGCTATGTGCTTGACCCCATTCCATACTGCTAAACTCCTCCCCCTCCCCATTCACGCACCGCTAATCTTACCCCCCCCCCCTTCCCCTTCCCTACCTGAAACATCCAATTATAAAAATTCACTGCAGCGACCCAAAGTACGGGAAAAAAGACTGGAACAGTTCACCAAAAAGTATTTATTTTATCCTTTGATCTTGACTTACCTCACGATCTACTTCTATACCATCCACACCTCCGCAAATCTACTCTACCAATCACACAAGCCAGTTTCACATTTAGTATCTCGCGAGAAGCTGTTCCAGTTGTAAGACCTAACCCTGTGGCAGTGGCTATTCCTGTCCTACTTCTAACCACGTCTATACAAACAAGTAAATGTACCAACAGTCGAAGAATTAGAGGAAAGATCTGGAGATAAATATTGTTTATTCATTCAAAGCGAGTCTCGCAGTAGTTGCAACGTTTTTACAAAAGAAGAACTCCGCGTCATACAATTTGGGGCTAATGTAGAGGATTAGCCCCACAAAGCGTTGAGTAAGCTGCAAGTATGACAGCCACCTAGCGGGGCTTGTGAAGTTAATATATGGGGCAGAACGGAACCGGCCTTATTTAGCTCGCAGATGGGGCTAGATAGGCCTGTAGCTCTGTAGTGTCATTTCTAGTGTTAAGCTTGTTTCATTTCGGCGGCACGGGTCAAGTGGGTGCGTTTATTTATATCTTGACATTACAAGAGAAAGAAATAAAACAAATAATTATGTTACTGTAGTATAATTAAGTATTAAAGAGGGTCGAGAATGTTTTCCTTTATATGTTTCCTACTGTCTTGTCTTTTAGATTTCTAGTGCCTCGAATACAGAAGTTGTAGCAATTCTATGGGACGCCTACGCTTTGGGGTTCGGCTTGCACGCTTCACTTCACTTGACTGTTTATTGGGTAATAATAAGCTGACCGATGTCAAGTTTGTGGTACTAGAACTAGATGAGAATCTGGATGATTGTTTAGAGGTCTACACAATATAACAGAAGTCAAGTTTGTAGTACTAGAACTAGGTGAGAATCTTAATGATTGCATTGAGCTCAAAACTGGAGGTTAGACAAGCGCTGGACTTGCCGTTTACAACCGGCCCGGGAAATAAATAAAAGCGGCTCCCTCCCAACTTAAATTTTCATAGTGCATTTTTTCGCCTATCCAAGCCTGAGAATCGAAGCCTATGAAGTCAAGGGTTCACTTTACAAATTAAAATATACGTCAATATTAAAACGACACATCAGAAAGGTTGATTAAAATAGATACTTTAAAAAAAAAATCAAACCCTTATAGACCCATTAATGGACTAACCCTAGCGGCCCACACGGCGACCCAATCCGCCCTTGGGTTGGACTGTATTATACTTAATCATCGAATTATTACATGATCGTGTTTAATCGATCAGCATTGTCATACAATGTATTCCAATTGCTATGAAACTTTTTATTGATAGATTAATTGAAGTTGTAATGAAAAACAAAAAAATGTTTAGCAAAGAATTTGATTTTCTAAAAAAAAAAAAAATTTAATCTAGTCTAGACTGGCAGTATCATGATCAAAATCTTAACTCAGATCTTACACCGAATTAAAATTTCAAATGTAAGAATTTCACTGAAATAATATTCCCACGATAAATTAAAGAATCTACTGTTGATATATGTATTGAGGTGTAATGCATGTTATGTCATTGATGTGTATGTTGCTAAAAAAAATACTTCATCATCTCACCTCTTTAGCTGCACGAAGTTTTCTTGTTGTTTTATTGCCGGAATTGTCCGTAACCTCGTAATCAGCCTCGGCAGTTTCCGCCTGGTCCTCGGGAAGGTACGGGGTGAACTCGAGCTCGAGAAATTCCGTACCGACCTCGATCTCACTGGCGACGATGTCGTGCGAGATCGAGTCCGACTCGGGAGAGTCCGAAGATGTTGGGGTGGGGCTGTATCTCACTTCCGGTTTAGATAATGTAGGATCTGTCCTTGGACTGCTGGTAAAGAAGGGGGGGGGGGGAGATAAAAATTTGAGTACAAATTAACATAATAGAATAAAATAGTGGCAAAGAATTAAGCGTAATATTTAATACTTAATACATGGACCAGATGTATGCAATGCTATACTGAAAGTAGTATCACCATCCTTGTCTAACACGACGTCTTAATTTTACTGACCATAACCTTGATTTCTAAACATTTCTAAACTTAAAACTGAACCCCTTCCAGTGTTTCCTCCAGACATTTTTCTCCAGGGAGGGGGGTTGCGGATACTGTTAAAAGTTGATATTGGGAGGGGGGGGTGTAGAATTCTACCGAACAGATGCCTGAAAGAAACTCTGACCCCTTCAACGACACATGTTTTAGAAAAGAATTGGATACAACATTGCATTGACCCGATGACATTAATAAAAGAACCGAGTGCTTCTACAATGTGCTACAAGTTTAGTGTTTTGCTATCGATAAGTAAACATTCAACACTGAGCGTGATGTTCGTGTTGCTTCTCTCGTACAGGTGGCACTCCAGTACTTAGCATTTCGTTCCTTTAACACACGATAATTCACATCGCCAAATGTATTTCTGTTTATAACTTTACACATAGTATCTACTTTTCTGAGCACATTAATACATTTTTAAAAATAAAATAAAAAATAGACAATATTTTTTACGAACAAAATCTTCGTATAAGTAGATCTAATACTCTTGAAATATAAGCGCAGGAAAAGACGCATTGAAAAAAAACAACGAAACTCTCCAGCGCCCCCTATAAATCTGGGACAGGTCATCTGGTCATCCTGTCCTGCCAACGAGCATGTCGCCCAGGATTAGATGACGTGTAAACGGTCATCGCTCCATCAAGGGAAACAACTGCCATTAGAAATTGCACTTTGGTTATAGTTCTTGGTATGTGTCAGCGGCCATCTGCCGTCCTCCCCCGCCCCAGGATTAATGGCATTACGTCGCAGCTATCACATTCCGCATGGTATCTGAGTTTATTGGCGGTACAGTTATTTATATTTGGGGTTCGAGTCCGTAGGACGCCCCCTAAGTCCACCAGAGTTCAAAGTTCTGACCACATATGCCGTGGTTGTTGAAACAGATGAACTCTACTTCATCTGCCCCATGTGTTTTGGACACGAACGGTAGAAGATTATGATGAGTTATTTATTTTTAACGATATAACTTTGGTCAAAAAATGTTGTTAATTAAGTGATGGGTTTTTAAATAGGCTCAGAAAACTCAATAAATGTTTAAATAGGTTAATTAGAAAGCAGATATTAGATGTTTAAATAGGCTCGTATGTTAAGAAAAAGAAGGCTGGTAAATGATATTTTAAATCCATGCCCAGAAGTCAGAAAATAAAACAGATGATTCATTGAGATTTTTTTTACATAACAATAGATAAAGACAATTGTGTATTAGTACTATACTTTTATTTTTATTTTTAGAAATACAGCGCCCATGTTGGCTAAACCTTTCCTGCCGGTTTAACCAATCTAATTTTTAATCTCTGGAATCGTTTTAAATCTATTCGTTTTATTGAAGGTTTTGACTAAGCAGTTGTTTTTAGATTAGAAGTTAAAAGAAATAGAAAGATAGGACATTAGCTGCAAGGATCCGAGAACTGTTGAATATACAGACGTCGCTTTGAACTAGAGTTAGACGATTTTTAAAAAGGACGTCACACAATAACAGGCGATTTTTCTATCCATCTTACCTATCCTTAATATTCCGCTAATTATTACAGGAAAAGCAAGACCAGAGGCGTAACGACCCTTCCCGGCGCCCGGGGACAAAGTTCGATTTGCACCCCCCACCCTCAACTTTTTGATTTGCACCCCCCCCCCCTTAAACTTCAAAAATGCAGCTGAAAAGACATTTTAATTTGTTTTTACAACCCATTTTGGCGCCCCCTAAGGTCGGCGCCCGGGGACATTTGTACCCCCCCTGCCCCCCCCCCCCCGATCGCTACGCCTCTGAGCAAGACCTCCCCCTCCACCCCCACCCCTTCGCAGGACGTCAAACAAAATAATTGGCAGATTGTTAACATTGGCAGAGCAATGCAGTGTGACAGTATTAACAGAGAAACACTGCTTCACCTGCTAAACTGATTATTTGAATAGGGCACTTCACAGTTTGAGGGGCAAGTCGGACAACTAGTGAGGATAGACCTCCGTCTTCAAACTCTATTCGTTTCACATACAGATTCACGATTTTACACGGAAACAAAGGAAGAGCCAGTCAAAGGGCCATAATTAGGTTAATTCCCCCACACAACTCATTAGAGTTATCCTTATATTAAACGTTTGAGCTATGTATGACATTGTCAAATTCAATGTCAACCCGCATAAGTGACAAAACGAAGCTTTTAAATTTCCAAGCGGGACACGTTATTGTTACGTTAGTTTTATAGCGAACCTTTACTGTTTATGCTACGTACTAATCGATGTTTTATTTCTCCATTAGCCGGTAAATCGACGGGCTTGCATAGCCCTTAGGGCATGGGACCACATACACGTACAACCCCCCACCTCCACCTTGTGTACACCTTGCACGTACACCTGTGGTCATGACAGGAAGGGGTGGGGGAGGGGGGGGTGACTGACCCCGTACACGGCACGTGTTTCCTGGAGTCATACGTCAGTGACGACGCACGGAAACAAACGAAGTTGGAGTCATTCGTCAGTGACGCGGCAATGAAACAAACGCCGTTGGACGCAGAGGTCGGGGCGGTGACACACGACTGGACACAACGGACGCCTGTCCGGTGCTTGCCTGTCATGTAGGGGACGGCACTGACACTTCAGGTGACGAAGGGTCCAGATTTCAGAACATGCCGTGCGTCCCGGCTCCGAATTTTTCATTCGCCAATAAAAAACACAGGAGAAAATAATCCCAAACACTTGGATTTTAAAGCACGTAGTACTTTGTATTTATCATTCACGAATTTATCATTCACCAATAAAAAAACACAGGTAAAAAAAGTCCCAAACACTTGGATTTTAAAGCACGTAGTACTTTGTATTTATCATTCCCGAATTTATCATTTACCAATTAACAACACAGGGAAAAAAGTCCCAAACACTTGACTTTAAAAAAACACGCAGTACAATGTATTTATCATTCCCTGAATTTATCATTTACCAATAAATACTACAGAGGAAAAAAACCTACTAAGTTGTATCGTACCAACCCAAATCGCAACAGAATAAATCATGACAAATTTCCAATCAATAAGTAAAAATTTACTATTTTTTATCACTTCACATATTACGAGATCATTAATTACACATATAATTAAATACAAATCAATGACACACTTCGAATTAGGAAAAGTATAATGGGGAACGTAAGGCTAAATAATTAATGACTGCTGATTAATGTTTATTTCTTTATTGGTTTCCTTTGCGTCGATGTGAAATTAAGGGGGGGGGGGGCATTCAATTATCCTACATTTGATATTTGTGTTACGATTTGACGGCTTTGCAATGAGGCATAAATTTATGCTTCATTTATATTGTAACACAGTTTTAAAATTGATTTAAATAATAAGAAAAAAAGGAAGGAAAATAGCAACAACAAAAAATAATAATAATCAAATAAAAATTGATAAATAATACGTCAAGAACAATGCAGTTGTTTATATATTTTTAATAACTATAACCCTGAACCTATCCGTGACCCTAATCCTAACACGACTAGCAAAGTAAGTTCCCTTTTCGAAATTGACGGTCGTTGTGGCAAGTGAAGTAGAGTTCACCTATTTCTGTGACCTCGGCATTTGAAAGTATAAAGTGGTCAGCACTACCTAACCCAACAATTGATAATCTCGATACCACACATATCATTGGAGTTACTCTAACAGAAGTTTAATTTGTGTTGTTTAAAATTTTAGATTGTAGCACTGTAGCTAGTCGGTTAAAAGCTTTTTTTATTGTTTAAAATACCGTTTGTATCCTCGACCACAGTGATCTGGGTGTAACGCTGTTTAAATACAGATATCGATCTATGCGTGCTGACTAGCCTTAGGATAGATCGATACGTCCGTTAATGGTTGTTTATTCAGCTAATCGATCACCCGATGATCTATTGCTAGTTTATTACAATACTGCTCATTTAGAAGTCTAGAGTGATTGACCTCCATGCTATTATTCCACACCCGGTGTTCATGGAAGGGTTAATATCATAAGCTAAACGTTTCTTTCAATGATTTTAAAAGCATTGCTATCTTTATAAAACTTTTTAACAAACCTTTAATGACATGAGTGTTCATAATTGTGTATTCTGCATTTATATTTATTGCTGGTAATTAGTTTTTAAGCCGTGCGATTCGTTACTATTAAAACTTCGATAATTTTGTCCACTGATTATGTAGATTGAGGTAATGTTTAAATTGGGTGTAAATGGTTTTATTTGTTATTACATCTAGATAATCTTCGTTAAACTATTAGAGCTTTATGGATTAGGTTATTCGTTACCCTATTATGTAATGTTACGTATAATGAAGACATATTTTAATATTAGACAGAGTTCATCTAAGTTGAAGTATTCATACCACTTATAAATACCTGGTAATGTTAACTTACATGTTTACCTGGGATGTCCACTTTATCTGATTATGTCTACTCCAATTCAATGTTTACCTGATGATGTCTACTTAAATGTTTACCTGTTAATGTCTAATTAAATTTGTACCTGTTAATGTCCATTAAAATCTTTACCTGATAATGTCCATGAAATCTTTACCTGTTAATGTCTACTTAATGTTTACCTGATAATGTCCATGAAATCTTTACCTGATAATGTCCATGAAATCTTTACCTGTTAATGTCTACTCAATGTTTACCTGATAATGTCCATGAAATCTTTACCTGCTAATGTCCATTAAATCTTTACCTGCTAATGTCCATTAAATCTTTACCTGCTAATGTCCATTAAATCTTTACCTGCTAATGTCCATTAAATCTTTACCTGATAATGTCCAGCATAATGCCATTGAGCTTGTCCCCCACCTTAAGATCATCTCGGTCTATAGAGGGCAGGTTGATGTACTCGTGTAGGAGGGCTACGGCACTGGCGTTGTTGTCTAGGTCACCTGCAGTGGGGGGGGGGGGGGGAAGAGAAGGTCGCAATACGTTAAGCGGGGGTGAGGATTAGGGCGTAATCATTTGGCGGATTAACTCCGGATTAAGGTTTCTGTTTGCTGGGGTTGGCGATGGTGACTTGAGATGGTGGAGCTGCAGTGCGTTGGGTGTGGGGATTAGGGATGTGTGTGGTTCAAGTCTCGAGGGATTAAGGTTAAGTAAACAGTCGGTGGGGATTAAGAAAAAAACATAGATCACGTGATCTGTGCCGAGGACAATGTAATTTCTCTCTGGGAGTTCCCAGGTTCGAGAACTTTCTTTGAAGGTGGGCGAAAGTCCTAAGACTGTACTTGCGACCATGTCGTTCATGATTGACAAGGTAATTTGAGCGGAAGTTAAAGATAGTGGGGATTTTATTTTAAATATAACTGGTCAAACGAATGGTCAGTTTTAGAAAATACTTTAAACATTTTAAATATTCAAAATGTAAATATGGTTAGATCAAAGCAAGCAGTTCCTAGTGTAAAACTACCTCAGATATAGTTTCAGGGTAATATTTCCTAATTTCAAAAGGAACATTACGTTGTTAGGTGGTTCTCTATAACTCAGGTAGATGAAATGAGGGCGAAAAAAACAAAACAAAACAGCATTGAACAATTCGCTCAGAACTGTAAATTTGCTTGTTTTATCTTATTAATTCCACTGAAAGTGAGTTCCTCTTTCAACACAACAGCTAACACGAAAGTCTCGAGTTCGGATTCCAGAATGTTCCTGAGTCCATCCAGCTTTGTCCAACACACCATCAGGTCCGAAAGGGTTAGTTTACTTTTCTTTCGCTTTTAGATTATGTGGCGATTCAAGAGAATTAGCCTTCTTCTTCTTCTTCGTTATTGATTTTAGTGTTGGAAGGGATCCACTCCAACACAATGTCCATGTTAACGTAGTATGGAAAAAAATTGTCTTACCTATTAGAGCGTTGGTCGCCTTTGTTAACGGGTGGCCGAAGAACGCGCCTACGTCATCAGGCGGACTGTCCACGGAGGACTTCCGTTTGCTGGTGCCTAGGGGTGGGGATAGGGCGGAGGGGGACTCCTCACAGGACTTTGTGCTGCTGCTGATGGTGTTCTCGTCCGAGGGGACGGGGGTGGGGTGGCTGGGGAGGGGGGTGATGTTGGAGGTGGAGGTTGGAGAGGTGTCTTCTTCTTTAAAATTTTCCCTGAAAGGGAGAGAGAGAGAGGAACAGGTTAGTTGGTTTTGTTTAGATTGGGGGAATATATCATACAATGAACAGAGAAACAAGTTAGTAGTTTTGGTGTTAATAGGGGGAGTAAGTCATTTGGCTTGATGGATAAATCGATGATTGAAAACAAATGATTAAATACTTTTTACTGTTATGCAGAAGTGCTTCCAATATAATATAGTAAAGGTACTGTAATCTAAAGCTAATCTTAAACACTTCAAGGTTAAACTGCACACGTTTATCGACATATGTTTAACACCAACTAGCCCAAACCTTAAAGCCCAAAACCTAAACATAACCCGCTAAAATATCTCAATCACAAAATAGGAAAAAATACAGAATTCCAGAGAGGGGATGGGAAAGGTAAAAAAAAAAAACAACATCTAAATAGCCAAGTATTCTGTTTTGTCCCAAAATAAATTTAAAATATTTTTAAACAATATATAACAAAAAAGCAATTTAAAACAGACACCCACTGTTAATCATTTCTGCACTTTTTTTTTTCAAAAAACGGCTTTAATTTCTACTTAGACTGCTTAAAATGTAATTTTTTAAACATAAAAATAAACAACTCGATTCATTTAGTTATGCAACTACTTGAAATGTGATCAGCGTCGAAAAATAAAAAGGGAAGCAATCATCAGTGGATAGATAGTCCTTTGTGTCTATGTTTAGAGTAGCATGGGACAAAACAAAACAGGTGCGCTAGATTTGAAGTGAGGGGGGGGGGGGGGAGGGAAGTGAAAGTCTGATTTTATCTGATCCCGTATCAGATTTTATTACTGCCTATTGTGGAGGTGGGGAAGTAAACTAGAATTCCATTACGCTACAACATTAAATATTCGTTTTAAGTTAGAGCTACACAGCTAAAAAAAAAAAAGTAAATTAAAAACATACTCCATAACCTATATTCAGCTTTTATTTTTAAAAGCAAGATGTCGTAAACAAAAAATTGGTGTTAAACAGTTTTCAAAATTATTTCCGTACAACGATCCATTCACCGCCGCCCACACGGGGAGACAACTGCGCAGTTGACAACACTCTCAAGCTACTCAGTAGTGAGAATTACCTGCCCTTGTTGTGTGCAGTTGTTAGCGTGGGTGTCGGCTTTATTCAGATAACAGTCAACAAACGGGTAGAGGGGCTACAATGTCACGTAGTCATATATTCGTCAGAGCGGTATAAATATGACGTCAGTCAATACCATATGTATATATATATATATATATATATATATATATATATATATATATATATATATATATATATATATATATGTAATTATCTATCTATATATACATATATGTATATAAATATGCATATATATATATATATATAATATGTATATATATGTGGATATTTGTCTATATATATATACATAGATATATGTCTATATATATATATATATATATATATATATATATATATATATATATATATATATATATATATATATATATATATATATATGTGTGTGTGTGTGTATGTGTGTGTTTGGAGCAAAAGTTATCTCATGCAGAAAGCCTTCTAAATCACATTCACAGAATACTATCTATCGATGAGGTGAAACAGAACTAGAGAGGTTACACCATCTTTACTGATTGTAGTTTTAATTGAGTACTTAAAAATAATCACTTACAGCAAACGTGAAAATTAATTTTACTTTCCTCAACGCCTATTGTTTAACCCGCCCATTTAATTGCACGAAGGCTTTACATTTTCGTACCCACTCACGCGTGAGGTCCCCCAACGCAGGGAAGAGATATAGGAGGAATTACACCGAGGATTAAAGGCTGAATACTTCAACAAATACATGTTTAAGTTCATGTATTGGCTAATCCCATGAACAACTGTGTTATTTAAAATTCTTCTCTCAGCTGAAGGGCATTAAAATTTTAGAAACGCGGTTTTTGTTTGATAACAAAAAACAAAACAATCAGCATTTCTTTTTTTTTAATAACAGACTTAAGTATAAAATAGCAGGAATGCCATACTAAAACTTTTTTTTTAAACGAAAAACAAATATTCATTTAATCTAATTAGTTTAACACAATAATGTATAATGAAAATTTCCATTTTTTTTTTTTAAAAAAGGGGTGGGGGGATTTGGACGAAAGGGAATTGTAAGTCGGCTTGTATGAAGGTGCACTGACATCCCATGCTGAAAGGAAAAATATTTAACACAATCGTCGTGTCGGTTATAGCTTGCAGTATTTCAGTGGCGTCGCTAGGTCGGGTGTCACCCGGTGCGGCACTTCGTGGTGTCACTCGGTGTGGTCCGCACCCCCCGCCCCGCTCTCGCTACGCCTCTGCAGTATTTAACGAAATAACAAAAGATAAAAGAAAATCCAGGTAGAAGAAGATAACAATGTTGAGCACTTTAAGCTGCAGATTACATGCGTTCATAAAGGACAGAAAATGGGCAGAGTTCGGGGTAAAATTCTGTAGAACGGATGCCATTTTTAAACTTGAAGAGCACGCAGTGCTACACGTCAAGACAGGAGGCCGTGATAAAATACTCACCAACATGGATATAATTAATTTAACCATATGTGATCGCTTTAAAACACTTCAGATATACCTAATTTAACCATATGTGATAGTTTTGAAACACTTCAGATATACCTAATTTAACCATATGTGATAGTTTTGAAACACTTCAGATATACCTAATTTAACCATATTTTATAGCTTTGAAACGGCTCAGATATGCCTAATTTAACCATATGCAATAGCTTTGAAACACTTCAGATATACCTAATTTAACCATATTTTATAGCTTTGAAACGGCTCAGATATACCTAATTTAATCATATTTTATAGCTTTGAAATGGCTCAGATATGCCTAATTTAACCATATGCAATAGCTTTGAAATGGCTCAGATATACCTAATTTAACCGTAAGTGATCGCTTTGAAGCGTCTCAGATATACTTATTTCTCATATGTGATCGCTTTGAAACGGCTCAGATATACCTAATTTTATTCACAGCTGGTACCCATTACACAAATCACCCACACAGATATACCTAATATCTACTAGTAATTCGTACCCTTGAATATATGAAAGAGAACAGCAAAATGATTGGTTGGTGCGAGTATAGGTGTGTGTGAAGGGGGGTGAGTGGAAATTCCATCCGATTTTAAACTGCATGCAGTTTTTATAAATATGACATGCAAATTTAAATAATTAATATAAAACTGACAACTGACATTCTGCTGAGTGTATTAAAAAAGTTTTCTAGACTGTTTTACGAAACTAGCATTTAAAACTATGCAAAATTAAGTTAAAAAAAAAACTTGACAAAACTAACATTTAAAAATCAGTCGAAACTAACATACAAAGTGTTATGCCAAACTGACATTAAAAAATGTATACTAGACAAACATTAAAAAATGTATAATAAACTAACATTAAAAATCTATACTAGTATTTACGAAACTAACATACACAAGGTTATACCAAACTAACATTAAAAAATGTATACCAAACTAACATCTTAAAACGTATACTAAATTAAGATTTAAAAATCTATACTAGTATTTACGAAACTAACATCGCAGTGTCACCAGTAAGCCAAACGTCATGTTTAATCTATCAGTTCCGTACTGCTGAACTGTAGAACATTGCATCCCAAATGTCTTTCAGCGTAAACATATTTTTCCCCCAATAACCTTTCCACCCGCCATTCCACATACGACATAATGTTGACAAATTACAGAATTAGATACTGCAATAAAGGGATTAGGGGGTTTTGTGCATCTGTCTATTTAAATATCCATAGCAGGCAAGTCCACACCACAGGTATCATTCATCAGATGCAAGCCGCTGTCACTTTTTTTATTTTGTTGATCAACCGTATGGTATTTCACATTGGCAAGGTTTTTTTTTTCTTACGGCAGGATTACATTATAGGCGCTAGTGTCAAGTTAAACTGAAGTACTGGAGTGCTTTTACTTGGCAAAGTACATGGATATGTTTAAAGCAGTAATAAGGGATGCGCTGTCTGTTAAATTAAAGTACTGGGCTTCGATTTACTTGGGATAGGTGACAAAATATGTTTATTAAAACAGAACTAAGGGAATGACTCTGTATGCCAAGGGCGTTGGAAGAGGAAGGGGGGGGGGGTTGCTTCATCAAAGTAAATAGAATTCACGAAGTTGGACTTGTTGTCTAAATCCTCCATCAATTAAGAACGAAGAAGAAGAAGAATAGAATATTTAGGTCGGAACCTAGGGGAGTGCTGTCTATTTTCCTGAAGTACTTTCGATTTTCCGGATGTACTGTTCTCTTATGTAATGATGGAACGAAGTAAGGATTACTTGCAAGAAGTGTATAAACTAGCACAAACAACAACATCACTCGGTATATTAAGAAGCATGACAAAGCAACCTATATTGGCACTAAAGTTAAACTCATGCGGTCATTGTTTGCCTGTCTTCCTGTATGGATGTGAGGCCCTTACCCTCAACGCAGAGAAGAATTCAGACCCTGGGGATCTGATACAGAGACCACACAACAAATCACGGAGTCTGTGGAAGGATCGCTAATGCGACTGGTTGCTTTGAGAGTCTACTGGGCATTATAAAAACAAGAAGACTAAGATGGTGTGGGCATGTCGTAAGATCAAACAGCCTATTAGTATCCAAAAACAATAACGCAAGGCACTGTGCCAGGAGGGGGAAGAAGGGGAAGGGAAAGACGTCATTGGATGGATGACATCAAAGATTGGACGGGATTGCCTGTTGTAGAACTACACAGGGCAGCACAGGGCAGAGGCAGCTGATAGAAAATTTTGAAAAAATAAACTGGTGCCCCAATGAACACAATACGTGTTGAGGGGTGATTGATTGATTGATTAATTTCCATATTAACATAATGTGTCTAAGACGGTAACGAGTACAATTAAGTATTCTCGATATCTTTACACAGATACTGCATAAAACAATGTTTAACCCTAACCCGTAACCTAACCG